CACCCGATATTAGCGGGGTCCGGTGGGAACCACGGGGAGGTCTTGTCTCTGATTCAAGCCCAGGTCGTAACCACGGTTCCCAGTACAGAGTCATAGTTACTCCCACTTTTATTTTACTTCTCTATTTTCAAATGCTGCTCAAGTCTTTCCCTGGCACTAGATTTAGCAAATTTTGGTGACAAACATCTTAAAAACTGTTTTTTGCCATCAATGGCATAAATGTGTTTTTATGCAAAATCATCTGTTTTATAGCCTGCAGTATTTTACAAGCGCTTCTGGTTTATTATAAATAAAGATTACACTGCCTCAATGTTGTGTTCCATGACAACATAGTATATTAGAATAAGATGTATTTGATGTATAATGACACATTAAGCCATAAATGATAGACTGGTCTTTATTCAGCATTAGTCAAGATACTCTGTTGAAGGGCAAAATATCAGTCATTAAGACAACTCTTCTTCTTTTTTGTTGTTTTTTAATTTGTTCTAGCAGCACAGCAGTACCTTTGATTTTGAACTGGGTCTGTGCCAAAAACCTACATAAATATGTCTCTCTCCACTCTAGCAGTCTATTTTATGTTCAAAGACAAGGAGAAACAACTGATTACTGCAAATTCCGTGTATTGTATTAAACCATTCCTCAAAAAAGATCGGAGGAAAATTGTTCATTTATATACTTCTGTACACTTAGTCTTCTAATTCAGACAGAGAAAATAACCTTGTCAAACTGGGATATAAATCAGACTTAGTATTTTGAAGGAGAGAAGAATTCACTAGCTCTGTTACCTCCACCAATAAACATAGATGAGTAACTTAAAACAATAAAATATCTATGCATATACAATTTGCTGAATACATGTCCGAATCACATGCACAAAACCTATGAGCAATGCAACCGTTCATACCTTTAAATTAATTTATACTTGTAAAATTAGCCACATGCATGCTGTACATTTATTAGTATCTGTGTCAGGCAAGCCTTTGTTATTGAAATGAACATTCACTGCAAAGGAAGAACCAAATAAATACCTAATATTTAGTAAAATTCTGATTTATACATCAATTCATCGACTTTACATACTTTTTTTTAGGCCAAGTATGTTTACATGTGCCACATCTTTTTATTAAGTATTTACTCATTTCCACTTGCATCATTACTACTTCATCACCATCACAGTAGATGCAGCATTATTTCCTGGCTTTACAAATAGCTTCACAAAATGGCCCATATCAAAAACATATAGTTTGCACATGGTCCAGTCTACCAAGTAATCATGTTTTCATATTTTATTTCCCTGTCAATATCAGATCATTTTCTATTCCCAGCTGAAAATGGTAGTACTCAACTCTTTCTGTGTAAAAGAAAAATACCATGCATAATACCTCTAATTCATTTTTATGCCAAAAAGTTTTCAATAAACCATACCTCTTAGAAATGTTATTATTTCCTATTTTGTATTGCTCATCTTTTTTTGCATATTTTTATATATAACTATATATTAATCCCTTTATATCTATGTATAAAAGTCCTTTATACATACAAAAGTCCTCAAAAATATGCCCTACACCCTTATGAGCACGTTTTGTTTACACACAGCATTTATCATACCCTTTACACATTAATTTGACATTGTAGCATTGCTCTCCTGTCCTGTGGATTGTCCTTCATCAACAGACTCATTTTCTAATCAATCTTGAGATGAACAGTGGCCACACAAAGTGACACAAGAGTCATTTAACGCATATTCCCTAGCCATTCTGATTCCTTTGGCAATAATAGCAGCACTATTTTTTTTTCTTCTGGTGACAGGTTCAACATGTGAGGCCTGACTACATTTTCACATACTCTTCTTATCTGAGTAATTACAGGCAATTTAAGAAAAAAAAAGTCAGAGCAGACTGAAATTGGTGGTCTGCAAGTGAGTCTGTATGATTTAGTTATCGTGTGTCGGACAGGAAGGGTTATTAACACTGTGCTCAGAGTACACATTGTGCAAAGCAGGGTAAATACCTCCACGGTCTCCCCTGCAAGATTCAGGATCTTGCTCTTCAATATCTGACGAGTCTGATCTGCAGCACAGAAGGATGCATCAGCACCTAGACTACTAATTACCTCAGGAAGGCACTGCATCACTGCCTCTTTTATTAATTAAACCCTATTCTGGGAAAACACATTAAAGCAGCAAACAGACCAGAAAGCATTCAAACGGAGTTTGTTTGAACACAGAAGAGAATAGGAAACACGATAACACAGATTTCTTAGATCTCAGTTTCCTTGAAGAAAGGCTACCAGAGTTGTGATAGGTGAACTCTGAAAAATTAAAGGCTGCTCCTATTTGACTCCACGAGCCAATATGCCAGAACATGGAACATGGGTGCCCTGAGCCACAACTCTGAAGTAGTAGTAAGTGTTTCTGCACACAGAATATAGGAGTTTACCCAAAAGTCTTATTTCACTGTCCTGATCTCTTGCTGTAAGTGTTGTAACGACTGCACTTTCTGATCTCTTAGCTAAAAGACACCTCAGTTGTCTGAAATGGGATATATATTATCTTCTAGTAATATACAGCAGGCAATGGTGACTCCTTCCAGTTTTTCAAAGTTTTGCTCTTTTGGTGGCTAATGCACTGCGTCTGCAAAGAGGAGCAACTGCAGAACTGATGTCCTCTTCCTTCTCTTCTTGCTCTTTCAATGGACTGGCAGAAACTCCAGGTCCCCTGGAATTAATTCCCAGGTCCCCTGAGAGTCCAAAATAATGTATAGGAACATATCTGTTTATTACAACATGAACTTTTATAATGCACTTCATGTCATGCATACAGCACTGATTCACTTTCACACAATTAAGATCTTCAGCCTTGTCTTTTATTGTCCCTATCGGAGACAAGGGAATTGATGCTCCCAGAGTGTATCAGTGCAATCGTATAGGCCTTCATAGACCTTCACAGGCCTTCATAAGACATGTTTTGTGCCCAGGAATGTGAACATAAACCCCTATTACCATGTTTATGTAAAGATTCAGTTAATCATTAGCTGAATCAAAGCTATATAAATCTTCACACTTAGCTTATACACCTAAAAAAATGAAACAAGCACATTTCTTTTACCAACGTGGTTCTGGGATCAGTAAAATTCAGAGCATGGTGCTAAATAAAGCCTGTGGATTTTATTTTTAAGGAATACGGCAACTGAAAAACAAAATCTCAAACAGTTTGCTAATATTGTTAAAGATTAGATACCTGCAAGATGTTTTTAGAGAAGATCACTTCCATTGGTTTTGCAGATATGTCTCACGATCAGGTCATGTATGAAATGCTGATGTCTAAAGCAAGGATCTGGCCATGCACAAGTTACCTTGCTAACTTCTTCTGCGAGGGAGAAAAGCCGGCATTGCCAGGGAGCAATTAATCCAGCAAGCACAGGAAGCATGCGGCAGCCTTCTAATTTTAGAAGAAACACCATCTTCTGAGGGGCCTGAATTCACAGGATCCTGTGCTATGGATGTCTAAATGCTAAGGCATTTGCCGTAGCAGAGACAGGACATTTAGAAAATGCTGTTTTGTTTGGCTAGTGCTTTTTTTTTTTTTTTTTTTTYTKTTTTYWTWGAATCACAGAATCATTACGTCTGGCAAACTCCTTCAAGATCATCAAGTCCAACCACAAACCCATCACCACCATGTCTCCAAGTGCCTCATCCGCACGTTTCTTGAACGCTGTTCCAGCACTTCCCTGGGCAGCCTGCTCCAAGGTTTCTCCGCTCTTTTGGTCTAGGAATGCTTCCTAAAGTATGAATTTCTCCTGGCGCAACTTGAGGCCATTTCCTCTTGTCCTATCGGTAGTTATTTGGGAGAAGAGATGGATCCATGCCTCACTACAACCTCCATCCACCTTCTCCCTTCCCACCCAGCTTCCAGCTCCTGAAGCAGGACTCAACATGCAGTACCAGCTTATTCTTATTATTATTGTGTTGCTGTTGTTGTGGTTGCTGTTGTTGAGAAACACCTAAAACTTCCCGGCAGCCTCTCGCACTGGACACCCAAAGCAAAAGGCAGCCGTTAACGGCTAACGGGCATCCGGGCCTGCAGCCGGCAGGCGTTGCCTAGCGACGCGCCCGCCGCGCCCCGCCCACAGAGGG